TGATTTCTTCCTAAATCGATCTTACCCGATCGCCATTGGTAGAGCAAGGCAGCCGGACGCGGGTTCGAACCGCGCCGCTCACGCCGCCCCCGACGAATGGCAATGTTACAAACTATGCATCTAACCTTCGTTCTCGATTTATATTTTTTTTTATTTCGTTACCTACGACCTTCGTCAGTCGCCAGCGTGTTCTCCACCAACTGTGATCGCCTGTCAACTCTTACAATTGGTGGAGAACCCAGGCGCCGCGCCAACCCCAGCCTCTGAAACGTGACAGCGCCCACAGAGGACAAGACTATAGCTGCTCTTCTCGCTTTCCAGCGGTCGGTGAAGAAATTCTAGTTGCGACAGCAAACAGGGCTAATGCCGTTTGGACGCGCTGACTTTTGGCTGCGAGCTCATTTTTAAAGTGCCTGATCACCAAATCCGCTGAAAACTTGTATATAGGGGTAATCTAACATCCTGTTCACAAATATGACATTCATTCCTGGCGCTGGCGCTAATGGAGGACACTACGATTATCTTCTGGGTTCAGCTTTAGCAGAGGGCAGATAATCGTAGTGTTCTCCATTAGCGCCAGCGCCAAGAATGAATGTCATAGTCGTAATCAGGATGTTAGATTACCTCTATATACAAGTTTTCAGCGGATTTGGTGATTTAGGCACTTTAAAATGAGCTCGCAGCCGAAAGTCAGCGCGTCCAAACGGCATTAGCCAACAAACAGAAATTACTGGGTTAGCGGAAAGTTGCAGAATTTTTAGAAGTTGCTCTCGATTTGTAAAGGTCTGACCAATACTATGAACAGTTATCGACATAGTAATTCTCTTGCTCCTTTGTTCCGCGTGCACCAAGTGGAACAACTTTATGGAGATTTCTTGTTTATACTGGTAGTAGTCGATACCAGCGAAGTCAGCTTCTGCATTTGATTCCGGGAAGGAGAAATAAAAGATGAAGTCTCTGTCGTTGATTAATCCCATCTTGGGATGCGGTATGCATTCTACTTCCGTTCAGAATGTAGTGCTTCAGTTATGAGACGCGGCCCACACAATGACTTGCAGAAGCAGCCTAATGTACAAGTCAGTGTTCTTATCCTCCCAGACGAATCTGGTACCAATTTACCGTCCCCGGAGGTAGAAGGCTTGGTTGGCCTAGACGGGAGTCGATCAGGGATTTGATCCCCGGATCATGCGCGTGGTAAGCGTGCCACTTGCCACCTCCGCCTCATTCCGTGAAATACGTTCCAAAAATAAAAAAGTAGCGCTGCCACAAATGTGTTACATATTGACACTTAACCAGGCTTTCAGCCATCACTTTCACTCGTTCAATGGGAGTCAGGGCACGTCCTACGTTGTTGAGGAATCCCAGCGGGGATGGGGTGGGGAGGGCTCATTGGTCTGACGAAATGTTTTTGAATAGTTGACTCCCTATTTCACGGGCCTATCCACACAGCTGGAAGAATTCCAGTGGGGAGGGGCAGTGTGGGGGGGGGTCGTAGTCGCCCGTGAGAGAAACTTGCTCTGCTCTCCGGTTGTTGATTTTTTTGCCTTTTTTCGCCATTTTTCCGGTGCTATACATGTACTGCTTCCCTTCCCTCGACGGCGGGGAAAAGCTGGAAAATTTTGGGGATATTTTGATTGAAGTGGTAGGAAGCTTGGAATAGTTGGTAAGAGAGGCAAGAGAGTAGGTAAGATGGGGAGTGGGGGAGCGGGGTTCGTAGCAGAGAACGAATTTGGGGGTCGTACTTTCCGAAAATTTTCTCGGCAGGGCGTGTCTGTTGATGGGGATATCCTTGTAAGTTGATCGAAGAATATGTGTGCGAAATATCGTGAAAATACGAATTTTCATTCAATGGAACGATCAATCAGATCAATGAACCGAAATTTACACCACTTATGGCAAAAATTATATAATACAGAACAAAGTCACGAGCAAAAATAATCGAAAAAAGTGTACTCTTCATGAGAACATGTGAACTGCACTGAGTAATTGAATACAATTGCATCGGAACAAACCGGCATCAAATGTCAATAGAGACCCCGCGATGAGACCATTCACAACTCGGCTTCGTTCAACAAAAGCTGCTCTTTAACCTCCGGTGAAATTGGTTCCACGCGGAGTGTGTGAAAACGATCAAGTTTCTTACCATGCAACGAGCACGCCTGGAAAAGGGGTCAATTCGAGGACAAACGAGACGATGAAATGGGTTCTTAGTCTGAAGACAATCGAGGGCCGTCGATTTAGGAAAATAAATCGGGGCAGTTCGACGAAAGGGCATTTTGCACTTCTGCTACTTGAAATGTCGACCTAGAGCCATTTCCAGCTTACAAGAATTGACAAGTTATAACATGGTGGCTCGACGAGCCTGCTACAGCTCCACAAGAGTTCACAGGTTTCATCAGTGCGAGTCTTGTGAACCGGAACTAATGAAGAAGCAAAAGTGCCCCCCCCCCGTCACCGAATTGCGAAATGAATCTATCACCTCACCTGATATGCTAGGAACTTCGTGGCGAACGTGACTGTAGCTCGATCAGCATTCAATACCACTCCTGTGACTTTCAGTCCATGGAACAGTTGGGCTACGCCAAACTCGTTGAGTGAAGATGGGAATCCAGTGACATGTACAGCAGATTCTTCACGATGTACTGCAACAGAATGTACGCTATAAGCTGTAGTAATGATAATTTTATCTGAATGTGAAACACATGAAAGAGGCCGCCAAAAATTTATTGCAAAAAACCCAAAAAATCCCAAAAGAATCCAAAAGTTCTTGCAAAAAAAAAAAACCCAAAAAATCCCAAAAGAATCCAAAAGTTTTTGCAAAAAATTTATAGTTTATGTTTCTTCCTTCGAATATTTCGGTGCCTAGCACCTTCTTCAGCGATCTGGTCTGCTGCCTCCAATATCCGCCAATATGCCGCCGCTGCTCCTTGCGAACGCCGCGCCTTCTAACCCAAAATAATTTTATCCCTAACACCCCCACAGGAAAGCATTCCTAAAGTATAGAAAACGCCTAGACTCGGATATAATCAAACTATGAGAACCATTTAGGTATACTCCTTATCCCTGAGACGAGGTAGGCGTGGCATTCGAGCGTGGCATAGAACGGGTTACTCGTGGGATGTTTCAATTTGAGACAACTGTCATCTTGTTCAGTGTTGGACAAAGACATGAGCACAGTTCCTCGAAATGGAAGTGTCTCACTAGAAGCGCAGTTAGCGCCACTTTCAATTAAAGTGTGCAGCCACGCCTACCCCATCTCAGGGACTTCAATTTACATATTGCTATAGGCTGCAACCTTGAAACCGTTCCATCCTTGCGCATTTCGCCCTCCTCTTCCTTGTTATCCCATCCGTCTCCTCACCAATCGAATCATCAAAAACTCAGTCAAACAACCCTCCCACTCCTGCCTTTAGGCTATTACAACGAAAGAAATCGTGGTTAACAGATGCTTTGTAGCTACTCCAGCCGGAGACAGCATTAAACACTTACCAGGGACTCGAACCAATATCACGCGGACTTCCCCATGGTCCGTAACCAGGATGGATGCTAAAGACTTGGGATTTCAACCCCGTGATGTAACAAATAGGCGGTGGTTCAGTGAAAATCTCGATGTAACTCATAGGAATGAGCGCTTAGTTCAAAGACCGATCCCGACGCTCACAGAAAGCAGAATGCCGTCCTCCCTTCGTCCACTCGAGACTGTACTCGATATAGGAAGCCGAGCTGTTACATATAAAGGGATCGTTATTGACGATAGCTTAACAGATAAAAATCCCTTTCAAAAAGTCTTAACTAGTGGTTTCAATGGGTCACCCGTCTCCTGAACGCCTCATCCGAAAAGAGATTCTGCTGGCTCCGAGGCTAAAGGAAATGAACCAAATTAAAGCTGTTCCAAGCAAACCATTCACACATCAATGTGGCCTTCTTCAGGTCCCAGCCCCCGTACTTCTGGGAGGAAGGAATCGACAAGCTGCCTGAGCGTTGGCGTCGAGTAGTGGATGGTGATGGTGCATACCTCTAATCTTCAGGCTGGTTCGCTATTGAGATATTTACAAAAAAGTCGGGGGGGGGGAACATATGCACCAACCTAATGAATGTCACCACCCACAGCAAAAATGAGCAAGTTCCAAACACGTGATCCATCCAACAAAAAAAAACAAGAACTCACACGGCAGCAAGTCTGGTGATCCAGATAAAACGGTGTTTACAGCAGTTTGCATAGCATCTTGGTCAATTTTAACATTGAGTGACATAGCATTACGTGAACCGACACGGAGATCATATGGTTTATACATACTGAAAAAGTTGTATTACACATCACAGCCTCTCAAAGTTATGGGCTATCAAAGAACATCACTGTTTGCCGCCTACTTTTCAAAGTCCAGGCCAGATTTTGATGGCAATTTGTTTACAGGGGTGAGCCTGCCTAGAACTTTTTGCTCTGAGATTTGACACTCTAAACACGAGGGTGATATGTTCCTGCCAGCACGTTCTTTAAAACACCTCAAATCCCAAAATCTGCTGCAGACTCGTGTCTCCGGGGATGGTTTGACCCCAGAACATGAACGTCACATCCGCCTATGGCGAAAAGGTCTGACACTCGTGCTAAAAAACTAGCTTGTAGCGCCAATGCCAAGCTCTTTCTGTGCACGCGAACATTGTGAGAAATTCTCGAGCCAGTGCGAATCGAAGCTACCCAGAAGAAAGATTTTAACCAGAATATGGCGTGAATTTCGAAAATTATTCCAAAATACTTACGGGTCTTTATCGAGACAAAGTTTGCTGGTAGCTCTTGCAATCCATTGTGCAACATTACTGAAACAGATGAAAATCGATCTGAATTGCTAAAAAGACAAAACACCATTTGGCGTTAAAGTAGTTGACAGGGGCTATGTCGCCATCCTAGGCCCCAACGCCGCCTCGACTCTGGTATCTGTTCTCTTTTAAGCCTTCCGCATCCACCTCTTCGCTGAGGCAATGACCCGTTCCTCCCCTTGAGCTTGGGAGAAGGAATAGGTCATTATCTCGGCGGAAGGAAGAGTGCAGAAAACCAGACTCGCGGTTATCGCCCAACTGTCAAATCTTTTCCACCTCTACGATAGCGCCCAGTATTTAAAAAACAAGGTCTCTTTCTGGTGCCTTTTCTGCATTCAAAGAAGGAAAATACTATTTCTGACATGATCTAAAAAACTTACGCGAACACTTCGCTAGGATCGTTCCCCAACTTAGCGACGCTGGCGAATCTGTCTAGGGCGTTTTCAAGTAGTACACCTTGCCGAACGAAACCATGAATTGAACTGAGTGTACGCATCCATTCATATTCACGAGCGTTCTTTTCAGGAAGAATATGGAGAACAAACATTACTGCAGGCCAGTTCTAGAAGAGTTGATTTTGAGCTATGAATGGAAAATTCGGCGCTGTTTTGCTGGCAGGGGAGGGGGGAGGGTGAGGGGGAAAGTGAGGTGTGGCATTTAGGTAGTTTTTCAGTTCTCTCACCTTGCTGAGATCCGCCGATGTGTGGGAACCTGAGCTGTCGCAGGTTCCCACACATCGGCAATGATCGACGGGAACCAGCAAAAGCCCCACCAAGCCGAACTGCGTTATCTCCACTTCTATGGGAAGTAGTGAGTGCCTCCTCCCTCCAAAGTGACTTGAATTACTTCATATTGTTATGATAATCCCAACGTTTTGCTTAGAGCAAGGGATTTTGAAAATCTTTACGCCTCTTCATGCAGTCTAGTTTCTGTTTCGCATTGGCGTAAGCTTTGACCTAGGAACCCTTGAAAGTTTACGAACTGTTATGAGTTCCGCTATGTATAGCTGCTTTACAAGGACCTACAGGGCTTGATAAGGTGGCCCATACAAGCTTCATCTAATACCACTATCTTCGCAAGAGTTCACAAATCGCCATAACGCTGTTCGGCTCAGGAGGGGGGGGAGAGGAGGGGAGGGAGCGCATTTTTTTGATTAGCTTGCTCGTTTCTTCCCTAGTTCATGTTATCTCACACGGTCACCTTACATCCTAGTGAGATCTGTAGACATTTGTCAAGTGTAAACGAAGCTCGTGCTATTGCATACATTCATTTACAGTAGCTTACAGGGCTCTAAGGGAGGCATTGGCTATCATCGATGAGAACCATTAAAATGCCCCCACCAAACGAGCCGCGTCGTCTCCATGTCTTCGGAAGTTCGTAATATGTCCCCTTCCCCAGTGTAAAATAATTAAGTTAGAACTGTTCGAAAATCGATCTGAATTTCATTTCGCATGTTGCTCAAGGTTTGATTAGACCTGTAATCCATCGGAAAAATCACGAAATTGTATGAGTTTCCTTACTTTTGGCAAAGAGTCTACTTAGCTCAACAAGGTGGCATGTTCAAACTTCCTTCATTAAAATTTAGTACCAGAAGCTTTGTAAGAGTTCATAGATCTCCATGGCGCTGTTGGACTAAGAGGGACATTTTCTGCTTTGGTATTTTTGGTATATTTTCATCTACTAGTTCCTACAATCTTACGCGTCCCATCTTGGTAAGACCTGTCGACTCTTGTCAAACGTAAACGAAGCACATGTTATTGCCTAGTTTTACAAGTGTTTACAGATTCTTACAGATAAAAATCAGCAGTGATCGATGAGAACGACCGAGATGCCCCCATCAACCCAAACAGCGTCGTCTCCATCGTCGCATATGGGACCTAGTAAGATGAGGTATGCGGCAAGAGAATCGTAATTTGCCGCGCCAGTGGGCGTCGCGTGCGACGTCGCGCCGCTAATGACGACGATTTCAGGTGGTATTGGTCGAGAATAGACAATGTATGACCAAAAATAGACATAAGTGTCTACCATGTCCTTGTCTACATGAAATCCGATGCTCCAATCGAAAGGTAGTGCAAATTAAGGAAACGTCGCGCCCATTGCCGCGCGCGACGAAGCGGCAACTTACGATTCTCTTGCCTGCCTCCCAGTAAGCCTCCGTTGAGCCGAACAGTGTCAAACGTACGTATGTTTGAAGAAAAATAAAAGAGGAAACAAGAATATTATGTAAACAAGAATGAGTAATACCTTTCTGATGTTTTCATAGGCCGTAGCGCAGGCATCATAGTCCCCGACGGGAACGTGTTGTACGACTTTAGGTCTTCTTCTCAAATCTTGCATAGATATTCATTCTACCCGCAACAACAGTGACCTCATCGAGAAACCACGTAGCAAATTCGCTGAAAACGGCAAAACTATCAAGGGGCTTTTGACTCACGAAATCAGATTTGAATTTGATACCTCAGTGTGTTGATTATTCGTTCATCGGGGACGGAACAAACAACAGCCCATCGCATTCGCAATGCGTCATCCTCATCGCCGAAGAACATCACTGAAAAATCAACAGACTTAAAGGCACGCTCCATGCTCAAATACGGTGATTTGTGCTGCTCGAATACTAATGACAAGCAAGGTAAGTAACACAAAATTTGGAAGGAAATAGAAAAACGCGCTCGAAGTGACCCGTATAGATCGGTAGGCTGAATCACGCGTGCACTTGCATAAGGCGATGAAAGGGCGTGGTTGGACGAGTTCCCACTTGCTGATGCTTATCACCTCATCTAACCAGAAACTGAGAGAGAGCTGCGGAGCAACCAAACCACCAGGAAGCCTCAAAGAATGAAACTTGTCATGGCCAGTGGGCGGGATGGTTGTCTCGCCGCGAGGTCGCGCTTTCCTCGCGTATTTTCGAGCTGCGGAAGTGGTACATGCTCCAGGCTTGCCTGCAGGACTACCAAAGAAGGGGTCTGAACATCAAATGAACATGGAGCTTGCCCTTGAATCAGATCATGGTTGTCGCGCACACTGATAATTGTTTTCTGCCTGGATTTAAATGTAGATACTTGGATTGAACTTCAGAATGCGTTCTTTTTTTCAAAAAGCCAGCAAAGCCTGTGTTGGGTGTTTTTTTCAGGAAATATGGCAGAATCAAATGGTCAGATGCAAAAAAAAACAAGAATACTTGAATTTCTAATCCGCCAAGAAAGAGGAGGAGCAAGTGTCAGCAACAAAACACCTCAATTGAGAAAGGTAGAAGCTCTCCCAAAATCTCATTCTTTATCTCCCAAAATTAGGGATAGTCTAGAAAAGTCCAAACAAATCTGATAAGGTTTCTGAAGAAGTGATTTCTGGAACTCTGAATCTAGACCAGTTGCATCATCAAAAAAGGAGGCATTCCGTCAAGAAAAAGGTGATTATGGACCCGAAAAAACGACTCTATGCCAGCAGGTTAACATGAAAAAGGAAGTGAAAAAGCAAATAAAATGAATGAAGAAACGTGAACCAACAACACAATAACTTTGCAGTCAGAAAAAACGCAACACAATCGAATTCTTGCATTCCTCGGCCAAATTGACAGTGCTAAGTAATGGATTAGAGCACGTCAGACTGGTGAAAGAAAGCTCGTGAGGGAGAACCCATTTTGTAAGGCGCAGAGACCTCAAAACGCTTAAGACCCCAAAAAACCTTTTATTGAGAAGGTATGAAAGAAGCTATAAGCACCAGATTAATAGGTCTTTCCACAAAGGAATTGATCATCAAACTCTGGGCTCCTCTCCGGACAACAGCTAAGTCCTCTTCCCCTAACATACAGTCGCCTCTTGGCCACCTCCGATGCCACCGAGTGCCTTATCCGAACATTCCTTCAAGGAAAAGGTTAAACAAGGCAATCTGTCAACGGCAAGACATCTTTCGCTGCGAGGGTCCAGAGTATTCTTCCATGGCATCAACTGGCCCAGCAGTTGAGGGGAGAAAAAGGAGGAGGGAAGATAGAACGAGAAGGAAGGGAAGGAAGTGGGGAGAAAAAAAAAGAAGAGGAAGGCTCCGCGGTATCCTGAGAGGCACAAACTATTGCACCTAAATGTCCCACGGAATAGCGTCACTGATAGTATCCGGAATGATTCCACATAGAAAACCACAAACAATTGCGAGCGATCTTCAGGGTGTGCACCATTTCTGTACATTCTCAAATCATGACTGGTGAGGTTGGTGTACTATTTTGTTGCGTTCACGATTCCTATCTTCTTTCCAAATGGTATGTTCATTGGCAGATCCCGGTCTATTAACTGAGACCTGCAGACGGCACTTGAAATGGTGAGCTTTTCGGTTGACCTCCTCAACTGATCTGGCGGATCACCCCGATTCCCGGAGAGCCTGCGTCTTTTGAAGAAAACCCTTTGTCGGCCGGCGCTCCGTTGAGATTACTACCCTCTAGGCTTTCAGCATCCCATGCGCGCTAGCGCAAACTAGCGAAAGGGGCCGTCATACGGTCACCTCGGACGCAAACCTCTGAGGATCCAGATCTTTGCTATGCGAGCAAAGGATTGGCAGCTGCAGAAAAGTGCCACGCCAGTATCTCGAAAAAGCGCCTAAATCAGCTAAATGCGGAATCCCCCCCCCCCCTTGTTCCGCCACTCTCGATGTCTGGTTGTTCTCTACACTCGAATGCGTTGAGCAGCTCTCTGTTCATGCTGTTCGCTGCAGGACCTCGGCGTCGGTGCACATCTCGCACGTCGTGGGATCGTCTCTGGGCACTTGTGAACCGCGGCCGCCCTTGTTCCTTGTTCTCTTTCCTTTTTTCTTCCTCCTTCATTCTTTTCGTTCCCTTCCTTCTCTGTTCCCTCCTTCTTTACCTTGTCTTTTCAACTACTAGACTAGTAGATGCCCCACGGAAGAAAGCCCTGGACCCTCGCAGTAAGAGCACGCGCGGTTGACAAAGTGCCCTGTAACGCTCGTGGATGCGGGGTAAGCCAGAACCCTACTGGTTTCGCTGTTTGTCTACATTACCATCGTCTACCTGGCGCTCTAACGGCGACTAAATGGACGTCCACACGCTTCTAATGTCATACCTTAGTGAGAAACTTCAAGTCACTCCGAGACCCTCCCATATGGCAAAAACACTTTCTCGGTTCGGTAATGTTCCTTTCGCTACATTCCAAGTAGTCCAGACATGTCACTGTCCCTCCTTTGACCTGTCGTGACCGCTATCAAAACTACCGCACAGAAAGAGGAAGGGCTCATATCACTAACCCCTTCCCGTTGAAATCTCCTAATCTATACGTTGGATCATTATCTACCCTGTGCTCGCCTGTCAGTGTTTGTAACAATACTCATCCATTTACGACATTGGGACCCTGAACGTGGGGTCGCTTTCCGGGAAGTCTCGTGAGGTTGCCGACCTCATGAGACGGAGGAATATCCAAGTCCTATGCCTTCAGGAAACGCGGTGGAAGAGAGCGAAGGCCCGCGAGATTGGAGAAGGCGTCGAAACTCTTCTCAATGGAGCGACGGGGCCATATCCTCAGAAAAACGCAGTGGCCGAAGTCAGAAAGAGGTGGGAAGAATACTTCGAGGGACTACTGAACGAAGAATTCCCCGCAAGGACAGCCCACAGATAGAGGCGACGGCAGGCCCATCATCACTCCTGGACAGAGGATGAAGTCCGCCGTGAGCTAGGGAGAATGAAAGTTGGGAAAGCAGTGGGTCCAGACGGGGTACCGATAGAGGCATGGAAGGCCCTGGGAGAGCTTGGGGTGAGTTGGCTAACAGACTTCCTAAAACAACGTAAACTTTGGCTGGGAGGAAGGATAGCCCAGATATGCGTGGAGGAGCAGCACAATCGTTCCCATCTTCAAACAGGTAGGGGACGCGACGGAGTGCTCCAACTACCGCGGCATCAAGTTGACTCCCCATACCATGAAGCTGTACGAGCGCCTGGTCAACACTAGGCTGAGGGAGCTTGTCCCTATCTCGCAAGAACAGTTCGGCTTCATGCTCGAAAGGTCCACCACTGACGCCATCGACCGCCTGCCTCAGCCTGTACTCTGGAGAGCGCCCAGAGAACGTAAGGTTCGCGGAGGCACGCTAAGATCTCCATAGTGCAGGATATGTACGATGGGGCTAAAGCAGCTGTACGCACCCCGCACGGCTTGACAAAGGAGGTAAACATTACGGTTGGGGTACACCAAGGATCAGCCCTCAGCCCGTTCCTCTTCCTCCTGACGCTAGATGTCATGGCAAAAGAACTCATGAGGGACCACTGAAAACATCCTCTACGCTGACGACATCGCCCTGAAAGCGGACAACAAGGGTAGAACTCCAGACAAGGTGCAGCGGTGGCAGGATGTGCTCGCTGAGAATGGACTCCGGCTGAACGTGAAGAAGACCAAGTTCCTCAGCTCTGAAGAGTGTACCGAAGCCAACGTAGACACCACGAGCGAGAGCATCGAATAGGTCGAGAACTTCCAGTACTTGGGGAGCCGAGCGCTAGGCAGCTGGGAAATGGCAGCGTGGACCAGGCGGTGATGGCCCGAATCAACGCAGCCTGGATGAAATGGAGGGAGTCCACTGGCATCCTGTGCGACCGGCGGTGCTCGAGAACGCTCAAGGGCAAGGTGTACCGGGCGGTGGTAAGGCCTACAATGCTCTACGGCAGTGAGTGCTGGCCTATCTGCAAGATACGCGATGATAAGGCAGCTTCGCACTCAAGCTGATAATGAGGATTGGGCATGGACACGGGTGTTCCACCCGAAGAGTCAGGAAACGAGACAGATCATGGTCCACCGACAGCGGCTCCTATCCAGCTTGAAAGGCACGAGAAGCAGTCGACCTTGCGATGGTATGAGCACTGTAATGAGAAGCCCTGAAAGCACCACGTTAAGTAAGGAAGCATTGGAACTCGAGGTAGAGGGCAAGCGACCACGAGGAGCCCGAAGAAAAGATGGAGGGACGTCATCAAGAGGGACCTCACTGAAGTGAAAGCCACAGCAGAAGATGCAGTGGATCGGAACAAGTGGCGACGTGTAATAAGAACAGCGGACCCTGCGACGGCGCGGGACTAACGCTAAGGAGAAAGAGAAGAAGAAGAAGAAGAAGAAGAAGAAGAAGAAGAAGAAGAAGAAGAAGAAGAAGAAGAAGAAGAAGAAGAAGAAGAAGAAGAAGAAGAAGAAGAAGAAGAAGAAAAGAAGAAGAAGAAGAAGAAGAAGAAGAAGAAGAAGAAGAAGAAGAAGAAGAAGAAGAAGAAGAAGAAGAAGAAGAAGAAGAAGAAGAAGAAGAAGAAGAAGAAGAAGAAGAAGAAGAAGAAGAAGAAGAAGAAGAAGAAGAAGAAGAAGAAGAAAAGAAGA